CTTGCAACAACCATGGCTGCCTCCTCGTCGTCTGCCTCTGCTCAGATCCAGAAGCCCGCCCCGCACTTTGCCGGCACTGCTGTTGTCGACGGCGATTTCAAGAAGATCTCCCTCGATGACTACAAGGGTACGTCCTCCACCACTCCCCTCCCCCCCCCACTCATCCCCATACCCCCCCCCCCCCTCCTTCCCACACGCCCTTCCTCCCGCAGCTGCAGGTCGCCTGCGCTTCATGATTTTTTCCCAACGAAAGCCATGTGGTTGCCGACGCGCCCTCGCCTCCCCTCCCTTTCCCTCCCCCCCTCCTCCCTCCCCCCTCCTCCCTCCCGTCCACCGCATACCATATCATCTGTTCTCCATTCCCACCTCTGCCTTCTCCGCCTTCTCCGCCATGGCAACGCTGGCACTGCCAACTGCCGTACTCGGCCAGGCGCTGCGGATCCTAGCCATGATCGATCACCGTTGATCATGAACATGATCACGACCACGACCACGATCATGATCACAACCCCCCCCCCCTCCCCTCCACGCACCAACATACTGCTGTCATGGACTCACCCATACCCCCCACCTCCTTTGCGCACCGCACAGGCCAGTGGCTCGTGTTCTTCTTCTACCCGCTCGACTTCACCTTTGTCTGCCCGACTGAGATCATCGCGTTCTCGGACCGCGTGGAGGAGTTCAAGGCGATCGGCGCCGAGGTTGTCGGCTGCTCGGTCGACTCTGAGTTCTCGCACCTCGCGTGGATCAACACCCCGCGCAAGCAGGGTGGCCTTGGCGAGATGAAGATCCCGCTGCTCTCGGACATCACCAAGCAGGTCTCGCGCGACTACGGTGTCCTCCTTGAGGACGAGGGCATCTCCCTCCGTGGTCTCTTCATCATCGACCCGACCGGCACCCTCCGCCAGATCACCGTCAACGACCTCCCTGTCGGCCGCTCCGTCGACGAGACCCTCCGCCTCATCAAGGCCTTCCAGTTTGTTGAGGAGCACGGCGAGGTCTGCCCTGCCAACTGGACCCCTGGTGAGTCGACCATCAAGCCTGAGGTCGCTGCCTCCAAGGAGTACTTTGAGGCCGCCAACTAAGCCATCGCCAAAGCCGTCAGCTGAGCCGGCCTAGCTGGCCGGTGGTTGAGCACTGCATTTTTTTTGATGACAACCGCGTGTTGAGTAAACCAGCCACCGTCACCCGATCCGCCGCTACTCGTCGACGGCTACCATCTCGACTGCGTCATCGCCGTCGTCAGCCCCGCTTCCGCCATCCGCAGCAGGCTCGGGTGCCTGCCGGACTGCAGCCGACGGACGGAGGCACGACCGCAGCTTGCTGCAGCAGCCAGTGGCGACACTGATGGAGAGGAGTACGAGGAGGCTCGAGATGACGATCGGGAGGTAGAGCCGGTCGGGCTCGAGAATGGGGCAGTCGTCGGTGTACCACGCAGTGGGCCCGTGCGGGCACCCGACCTCGTCACGGAGCGCCTTCTCAAAGCACGTCGCGTACGCGTGGCACCAGCCGCAGCGCGCATGCGCCGTGCATCCGCCGCAGCTCAGCTCGCTGGCGCACCGCGGCACCGGCTTGAGTACAATCGAAGTGTTGGCGGTCACGCCGGCGACGTCGATGGCCTGCACAAACCGCTCGTCGGCAATGGCGACATGGAGAGGCGAGGCGAGGTGCGTCTCCAGATGGGCCGGCGGCGCGGTGACGTAGAAGAAGGTCACCTCGCCACTCGCCGCGAGGACAACGCCGAACGAGGCATAGACCGATGGCCCGGCATTGGCGCCGTACTCCCACACAACCGTTAGCGTCTGCGCGTCTGGCTCAAAACGGTGGCGGACCGAGGCACTGAGCATGATGGGCGACAAGGTGCCGGCTCGCGCCGAGCTGGCCACCGTTGCCATCGAGAACGGCACAAAGTCCGGCGACGGGGCCAAGAGCCGGGCAAACGCCGCCGGTGCCACCATACCACTTCCATACAAGGCCAGGTCACGGCAGAGGACGGTGCACGGCACGCTGTCGCCGACGGTGGGCGGATCGGTGGGCTCGGGCACTGGCGCGCCGCGGGCCGATCGCGGCACCAAGCTGAGATCAAAGTCCGGCGGGCGGAGGAGGATCATGCCCTCTCTTGCCAGCCATACTCTCCGATATATACCACCTGCAAGAATGCGCAGATCAAAGGGAAGGACGAGTTCAGCCAGAGCTACTGATGCGACAGTTGGCGATGACGACGACGACGGCAGCGTGATGTCGTGGGTGACGGTTGGCGCAAAGGGAGCGACAAAGTCGGATTCGAGATCGTTTGCCGAATCCCTTGCCGATCGGGATGACGGAGTGGCGGAAGGAGCCAGAGCGAGTGCCGAGGGAGGGAGACCAGCTACAATGGTGGCGGTGTAGAACGGTGTGGCCGTGGCGTAGGGCGTGGTGGTGGGCGTGGTGGACGGGGTGAGCAGGATGAGGAGCACGATGAGAGAGGCCATGAGCAAGGACATCATGTGGGTGCAACTCGGTCGGGCGACCCTTTGCTAGCAGCGGTGGGAGTGGTGGGTGGTGTGTCCTAGTTGCTGTGTCTTGTGCCTTGGGGGGAGGGGGAGGGGGGGAGGTCGAGGGGAACAACAAGGTGTCAGGGCGGGGGGGGGCGGCAGGCAGGACCGACCAGAGGTGGCCAACAAGAGGACGAGCGGTTGCTCCGAGCATTACAACCAACGAAAATAATCGTCACTCATCATGTTCCGTCATGGTTCGTCGTCACGTGCCACAATCGTTGCAATCGACATCAAACACGACTCATTCCCCCCCCCAAACCTCCCAACCCCGACCCTCTGACCCCCGCACCACACCCACACCGACAGACTGCACTCTCGTCCCCCCCCCCCCCTCCCCCCTCCCCACCCCCAACTGCATGTTTACTACGCCCCACCGTACACCAATGGGTGGGCGGAGCCGTGTACCTGCTACGCCTTGGCTAGCTACACCGTCCCGTCCAACGCCTTCGGCCACCTCGCTGACGGCAGGCATGCGAGTGGCAGGCACAGCAGCAGGAGGACGACAACCAGGACATCCGACAGAACTGGATTCAGCAGCAGCATCACTTCTGGCTAGCCCCTCCACCCATACTACTGCTGCTGCTGCTGCTACTGCTGCTACTGCTGCTACCTTTGAGGAGCATGATGCCTCCTCTCCCCTCGCTCCCTTTGCCCATTGGCATGCCCTCGTCCCAGCTCCACTCGCTCCCAGAGAGTGGAAGTCGGCAAAGGCTGGTCTGGTGCCCAAGACCCGTGGATCTCGACATGGCTTTATTCTTGTCTTTGCTGATCTCCAGTCGTTGTCTCATGCCACTCCGTTTGCGGGTGCGACTCGGTCTCCCGAAGATTCGTTCTCTCTGGCTGCGCCGGCTCGTGCACCAGCTCTTGTGGTCAAGCTCGTGGCTCATCCGCTGGAAGAGGCCTTTGCTACCGGTGTAGTGGAGGAGGTCTTTGGTCTTACCACACCGCGTGCTCGCTGGATTTGTCTGGACTCTCAGGAAGCAGCAGAGCTGGTCGATGTCCTCGCTGAACTCGATCCAGAGCGGGCTCAGCCGTATGTGGAGGCACTCGCTCAATCGGCACCTGCTGCCATCCAGGTCCAGCGGTATGTGCCTGGCGGGCCGTCGCGCAACCTGCGGTACCTCGATCCCGACGCGTGTGCGGGTGTGTTTGGTGTGCCCGGCGAGCTCACCGCGCACGGCCGCCGGGTCCTCCAGGACATCGGCCGCATGCTCATCGCTGACCTGTTGCTCAACAACTACGGCCGCCTCCGCTGCCGTGCCGTCTGGCCGTACAACATTGGCAATGCCAAGAACGTGCTCTTTGCCGCAGACACCGGCGGTCTCGTGGCGCTCGACCAGTGCCTCAACGCTTACGACCCGCTCCGCCACGCCACCGCCCTCGACAAGTACGCTACCGCCGTCCGCGACGTCCTTGCTGCCCTCTCTGCCCCGCTTGCCGATGCGCCACCACCGCCTGTTGACCAGATCCGCCGCTTCATCCGCCAGAACTGTCGCTACGACATTGGCCGCGAGGGCTGCCACTGCGTCCACCTCGGCATGCTTGCCGGCCTTGCTGCCGTCCGTGGTGCCACTCTTGACACGCTCCGCGATGTCTTTGCATCCGCCGCCGCCGCCACCGCCGCCGCACCGGGCACAACAGCGCACTCACCGCCAACAGGCGACCCGCCGCAGCTCGCCTTTGTCCTCGCCATGCGCGACGTCCTCGCCGCCGCCGGTGACACTGCGCAGGTCCACGCCGAGCTTGCCGAGCTCGCCTCTGCGCCAGCACTCCGTCGGCCTGACTTTGACGCCTCGCTGGCTGCCGACGACGAGGTCGCCGACGAGATCTCCGAGTTCTGGAAGCTCTCCGAGAGCCTCATGGACATGTTTTCTGGCGATGGTGGAGCCTCGTCCTCGCTCTACGCCACACCGCTCCGCGACGCGGCCCGCGCCCGCGCCGCCGCCTCGTCGGCCGCCACTCCGGGCACACCCAACCTCTCTCCCATTCCGCCGCCGTCGCTCGGCTCAGACGCCGCCGCAAGCACAGACGCCTCGGCCCCGCGCTCCGCGCCGTCGCCCGATGGCTTCTCGGCAGAGCTGGACTCGCCTTCGCGGCTTGCTCACCATCATCGCCACCACCGCCGCCGCCGCCGCAAGCACAGCTCACCGTCTGCTACGCCCGACGAGCCATCCGACGCCTCGGCCTCAGCACCGTCGCGCCGACGCAAGCACCGTCATCATCATGGCGACGACAGCGAGCCGGCTGGGCCCGCCTCCGAATCGGACATTGCGCCGCCGTCCTCGCCGCCGCCTACGCTCGTCGCGGATGACAACGATAGCGAGGTCATGTCGCGCAAGGCCAAGGCCAAGTCGCGCAAGGCCAAGGCCAAGTCGCGGAAGGCCAAGTCGCAGAAGGCCAAGTCGAAGAAAGCTCGCGCGGTGGCAGCCGCTGCAGCAGCCTCGGGCGCTGGCGGCGAGTTGGCGCCGTCGTCGGCGGCAGCCAAGCTCCGCCCGGCCTTTTCGGACGTCAACAACATCCGGTTCCACCACGGCGACCGGACGGTACTCATGGCGAAGCTCGCGCCGCTGCCGATGTCGTCGACCTCGGCCGCGCTCCTCGCGTACGCTACCGCTGTCATCAACTATCGGCTTACTTTTCGTGAAGTCGTCCTCGCCTACAAGTGCTCGTACGTCCACAACGACGGACCGGTCCTCTCGGCAACGTTCCACAAGCCGTCGGCTGCCATAGACGCTGCACTCGAGTGCGCCGCCCGCGCCATCGCTCTCCGCGCTGGCTCCACCGTCCTCGGCTCGCTCGCGCCACCGGTCTTTGCCCTCGCCCATGGCGGCGGCCTCCTTGTCGACAAGTTTACGCTCCGCCAGTTTGGCGTCGCCGTCGACGTCGCGCTGCAGCTCTTGTTCCGTGTCGACCACCCGGTCGCGCTTGACGCTCCGCCGGCCATCCTCGCCGCCCCAGCCACCATGCTCGCTCTTTCCAAGCGCGAGCGTGCCGCCTTTGCCAAAGCCGGCGTTTCGTTTGCGCCGCACGCCTCGGACCGCCTCGACTTTGAGGCCACGGCGGTCATCTATCCGGCCACAGATGCACTCGACGACGACATGGAGCTCTCGGCCCTTGCCCTCCTCAAGCAAGAACAGGCTGTCGGCTACGTCGAGACGCTGCATGGAAACATGACGCCTGCCATGCGGTTCCGCAAGCTCATGGTCGCCCGCGCCGCGCCGTCGACAGCCCTCTCGCCGTCCAAGCTCAATCACATCGACGGCGTGCTCACCTCGGCTGCCTTTTTTGGCTTGCGCGCCATGGTCGCCCTCGGCTTTGACTGGATGACCGTCCCAGGCCTCACCTCGGCCGAGGACGTCATCTCTAAGATGCGTGCTGCCATGGCTCTTCTCCAGCCGGTTGTCCTCGCTCACGGCGGCACCTTTTACGAGGAGTTTCTCTACGAGTTTGAGTCACCGTCGGTTGCTCTCGCCGCCGCCATCGCCATCAAGCGCGAGCTCATCCACCACAACGCTTCGGCTTTTGTCCGCGAGCGTGCGCCGCTCCGCGGACTGGTCTGCTCGCATGGACCGACGCTGGCTGTCGAGGCCACAAACGTTCACTGGGGCCGACACGTCACGCTTGCCCAGCTCCTGCTCTCCTCGTTTGCTGTCACTGCCGCCACCGTCGCCGACCCGCCGCTCATGCTCACTTCGGCCTTCCACGCCGCCCTCCTCGAGTCTTCCGACCCGAACATCGGCGCTCTCACCCTTGCGCCGGTCTCCTTCACCATCGGCGACGCCGCAGAGCGCTGCTACGCGGTCAAGGGCGACGCCGCCCTCGCGTCACCTTACAAGCAGCTCCTCGCCGCGGGTGCGGCGTCGACACCGCCGCCGGCCTCGGCAGGCCCCCGCGCACCTGTGGCGTCGTCTGCGCTCAAGAACAAGTACACCTCGAGCCGACCGGCCGACGGCCCGCGCGTCCGCTTTGCGCTCTCGCCGCCGCCGTCGCCGCCGCTGCGCCCGCGGCTGCAGGCCTCGCCGTCGGCCGTGGCCTCCCCGCCGTCGCTTCACACTTGCGGCCCGGCCCGCGCTACCTCGCCGGTTGTGGTCAACTCGGGCGCGCTCGTCCTCGAGTCCTCGCCGGCTATGCATGTCTTCCGCGGTGGCCTCGCCGTCTTTGCCACCTCGCTCGTTTGCCCGCTGCCAGCGAGCCCGGTCGCCGCCGCTGCGCTCACCTTTAAGCTCCAGGAGCTCTGCATGCCACTGCTGCAGTCGTTTGGCGCCCTCACCGTCCAACCGCAAGACTCGGGCGAGCTCGTTGCGCTGCTCCCAACACCCGCCGCCGCTGCCGCCGCCGCTCTCGCTGCCCACGAGCTCATTGCCGCTTTTAACCAAGATGCCGACGCCGCTGGCTCCTCGCTCTTGCTCCGCACCACTGGCTTTGCCGTCGTTACCGGCGACGGCTGCGCTCAGTCAGCTCACCACGAGGCGCTACTTGTCTCGCCGCTCGTCGATGCTGCGCTTGCGCTCGCGTCCGCGTCTGACCTCTCATCCGCCATTCGGGTCTGCCTTGCTTCGGATGACTTTGAGCTTGTCGATGACCTCGTCTCGCAGCCGCTTCTCGCCTCGGCGCACCTGCATCCCCTTACAGCACCGGCGGTCGGCGCCCGGCTTGCCCACCTGACCGGACGGTCCGCCCAGAGCCTCGCCCTTTACACAATCAGCGGCTCGCTCCCGTCCGAGGCCTTTGACGCCTCCGCGCTGCTCGCCGCAGGCGCGTCGGCCGAGGCCTCGTACTCGGGTCTGGACCTCGAAGCGCTGTTCCGAAGCGCAGCAGACGCGGCGCCGGCTGCCGCGGTCGTCGACTCGGTCACTGCCCACTACGTTCGACAGCACGTGGCCATTGTTACGCTTGCCCGCCACCCGCGTCCAGACATGCCGCCAGCGGAGCAGCTCAGCACGTTCCTTGCCGTCCTCAATGACGCCGTCGTCCCAGTCGTGGTTGACCAGTACGGCGGCGAGCGCATCTCGGCCACAGCCTTTGCCTTTGTCGACGACCTACTCTCGGCAACTTCAGCAGCGGTCCTCATTGCGTCGCAGCCTTTGCTCGCAGACGCCGGCGTCTCGGTCGTCATCTCCGACGGCGACGTGCTGGTCATTCCCTACTCTGACTCGACCGTGTTTATGGGCGAGCCGCTGCGGTCGCCGTACACTGCGCTTGCTGGAGCTAAGCGCTTGCATGCACCTCCCACCACCCGCGACCCTTCGCGAGTCACGCCACTGGTGCCGCTCCTTGTTGCCGCGCCGGTCATTGCCGCGCTCGCGCTCGTCGAGCCGTTTGCCTCGTGCTACGCGTACGCACCTGTCCGCGGCGCGCCAGACTTCTCGTACGTGGCCTCAATCTCGCAGGACCCACGGGTGCTCGCCGGCGACGTCGTCGTCTCAGAGGACGAGGATACTCGTCACTTTGTTGGCCACGTTGCCGTCCTTGTCACCGACATGTCCGGCTTTACCCGCATCACCCGCGCCAAGGGCATTGTCCACTTTGCCTCGCTCATCCTCCGCATGCGCTCGCTCTTTACGCCAATCTTTGAACTCTACGGCGCGCTCTCCATCAACACCGAGGCCGACAACTTTCTGGTTGTCTTCCCCTCGGCGGAAAAGGCGACTGCCGCTGCTCTCGAGGCCGCCCGCATGCTGCACCTGTACAACGCCGCTGTCGTAGCCGACCCGGCCGTCTCGGATGACTTTGTACTCAAGGTCGGCGGCTACGGCATTGCTGCAGGCCGCGGCTGCGTCCAGGACCTGATGTCAACTTCACTGTTTGGCGAGGTCTTTGATCGCGCCTTTCGCCTCGGCGAAGACGTCGCCGACGACAACATCCTCATCGACGACACCACCGCCTCGCTGGCGGGCAAGCACCCCGCCTTTGCAGGACTTGACCTCTCCCGACTCCAGGTCGATGCCGAGACCGGCATTCGCTACACCACCATCGAGCTCGACGCTGCCGTCAGCTCTCTTGCCCGGTACCACGGCACGCTCCACATGGTCTCGTCCGAGTTTGACACCACTACGCCGCTCGGCTGGGTCTGCAACGCGGTCCTCAATGCCGCACCGGACGACGTCGCCGCCGCCGCTGCCGACGTCGGACGTCGCTACCTCGCGCCGGGTGCCATTCTCCTCATCGGCGTCGATCAGGCCAAGGTCACCGCCGCCGCCGGCATCGACGCCTCCATCCGCATGCTTCACCGCATGGTCCACGACCTCGAGCCGATCCTCATCGACGAGCTCGGCGGCTCGCTGGTTGAGGAGAAGATCTTCCTTTTCCGCTCGCCTGCCGCCGCCATCCGCGGCGCCGTCCTCGCACGTGCTCTCCTCAACGCAACCAACGCGTCAGCCGTCGCCACAGGCCTCCCGGCTGTGCCATGGACCGGCATTGCCGTTCACATCGGCGACATGCTCGTTGTTCCCGGCTCCAACATCCACTGGGGCGACCCGCTCAACACAGCGTCCAAGCTCGCCGAGGACGTCGCGTCGGGCCAGGAGATCTTTGTCACCCGCGAGGCCTTTGACGCCGCTTGCGCCGAGAGCCCTGACCTCGCGCGCCTTCCGACCACGTCGCGGACGTTCCATGTCTCCAAGGTCGACCTGCCGTGCCTCGAGGTCGGCAACGGCGAGTGCATTACCGCCGGTCGCGTCTTGGGAAGCGCGGCGGTGGGCGAGCACCGCGAGTCGCAGGTGAGGAGCGGCGAGGTGACCGCCGCCAGCGACGCTGCCGCCCGCGCCGCCTTTCTCCCACCGCCGCAGCCGGCCACCATCTCCCTGCACGACTCGATCGAGTTTACATCCGAGACCACACTGCTGGTCTCGGACATGTCGGGCTTTTCGCGAATCACCCGCAAGATGGGCATTATTCACTTTGCTTCGCTCATTTTGCGGATGCGGACACTGGCAAAGGGCGTGTACGAGCGATACGGTGTGCTTGAGTTCTTCACCGAGGCTGACAACACCTTTGGCCTTTTTGCCACACCGGCCGCTGCTGCCGCTGCCGCCTTTGAACTCAAGGCTGTTCTCGACGCGTACAACGCCGAGGTGGCACCGGCAGCCGACTTTCGTATCAAGGTCGGTGGGTACGGCATGCACTGCGGGCCTGGCGTTGTCAAGGACACTGCCACGGGCAAGTTCTTCGGTACCGTCGCCGACGGCGCTTTTGTGCTCGGCGAAGACGTGTCCGAGGACGCTGCGCTCTACGTTTCGACACCGGTTCTCAGCGCGCTGGCGACCGACGAGCGGTTCGCGCGTATGGACGTGGTGTCGTTCACGGCCGAAGACTCGCCAGACGCTCCGTTTGACTACCACGTTCTCGCATGCCCCGGTCTCAATGGTACACTGCCAGCTGCGCAGCTTCTGACCAAGTTGATGGCGCCGGCGGCGTGGGCGCCAGCCGACAACACTACGGCCGAATCCCGATTCCTTGCGGCGGTCCTCGTCGACCGCCTCGCAGCCGGCACTACCGTCTCTGCGCTCGACGCCAAGCTGGCCGATGAGTTTATGGTCTCCGTCGCTGCTGTCCTGCTTATTGGCATGGACTTTGCGTCTGTGTCGGCCAGCTCGGGCGTGCCGGCCACGCTCGCGCTCGTCCACTCGCTCTCGGGCCTTTTGGCGACGGTTGCAAAGCGGTACGGCGGCACGCCGCTGGAAGAGTTCATTTTCCTCTTTCCGGACGTCGACGCGGGCTATGCCGCTGGTCTCGCCATCCGGGCCGCACTTGTCGAGTACTCAATGGCGCATCCAAATGCACCTGCGCCTCTCACAGGCCTTGCGCTCCACACCGGGTCGATGCTCATTGTGCCGGGCACAAACGTTCATTGGGGCGACCCGCTCAACACGGCGTCCAAGCTTGCCGAGGACTCGGCATCGTCGGCCGAGTTTCTGGTCACGCAGGCGGCGGCGAGGCTGCTGGCGTCGCGGGCCGGCGCCACCTTTGTCGAGCGGTCGTTTGTAGTCTCCAAGGTCGAACTGCCGTGCGTGGAGGTGCTCGACGCTGTGGCGACAAGTGCGCTCGCGTCGCGTAAGGCTGTCCGAGCGCTCGGCATGGGCAAGCCGCTTCCGCAGTACGTGACGACCGACGCACACTGCAGGCACTACCACGGCGAGTACAGCGTGCTGATCTCGGACATGTCCGGCTTTACCCGGATCACGCGCAAGATGGGCATCATCCACTTTGCATCGCTGATTCTTCGCATGCGCGACATGCTCCTCGCCATCTACGGGGCGTGCGGCGCGGTCTCGACCTTTACCGAGGCCGACAACACCTTTGCAGTGTTCCGAACACCGGCCGCTGCGCTTCGCGCTGCACTCGAGGCCCAGGTTGCGCTGGCGCGGTATAACGCAACGTCTCTGCCCTCGCCGGACTTTGAGCTTCATCTTTCGGGCTTTGGCATCGACACCGGCGTCGGGCTGGTCCAGGACCTGCGGAGCGACAAGCTGTTTGGCCCCGTCCACGACCGTGCCTTTGTCCTCGCCGAAGACACTGCCACCGGAACTGACATCCTCATCTCTGACGAGACCATGGCTGTGCTTGACGCCGACCGCGCCTTTGTCTGGCCGGCATCAATCACTGCCGAGGCCAAGGTCCTTGGTGAAGACGATTTTGCCGCGCCGTTTGGCTACTTTCATCTCCACGGGCGGCTCGCAGCAAGTGAGGTGACTCTCGGGCATTTGCCTGTCTCTGGCAGCCACACGCCGCGTGAGCCGCGGACGCCGGCATCCGAGTTCCACCACGCGTTGCTGGTGGAGCGGCCGAGCGCACGCGGCGCGACCGAGCAGGTTGACGCGCAAGTGACAGCATCTTACATGCGGTCGCCGGTCTTCTGCCTCCTCATCGGCTTTGACTTTGCATCGGTGACGGCCACCACCGGCGTGGAGAACACCATTGCGCTCATGCACGGAGCCGAGGAGACAGTCCACGCCGCCATTGCGCCATATTCGGGCGAGGCTGTGGAGGAGTTTATCTTTGTCTTCAACTCAGCCAAGCTTGCACTCCTCGCTGGCCTTGCGGCTTCGGCCGCGCTCGACGAGTGGAATGAGCTGGCGTCGGCCGACCGCAAGCTCCCGCTGCTCGGCATGGCCATCCACGCCGGCTCAATGCTCATTGTGCCCGGGACGAACGTTCATTGGGCGACCCGCTCAACACGGCATCCAAGCTGGCTGAAGACTCGCTTGACGGCGGCGAGCTCTGTATTACCGTTCCGGTCTACGACGCCATATCGCGGCTCTCGGAGTTTGCCAACCTCGAATTTGAGAGCCGCGAGTATCTGGTCTCCAAGGTCACGCTCCCGTGCATGATTGTCCGGGCGCCGGATCGGAGCGGGACCCATTCGGACGCGCACTGCTTGCACTACGACGGCGCGCGCGCTGTGGTCAACGTCGATGTTGCCGGCTTCACCGCTGCCATGCGCGCTGCAGGCATCATCCACGCCGCGTACATGGTGCTGCGGATGCGGGCACTGCTTGGGCCTGTCTTTACCGCCCACGGCGCTGAACTTGTCCTCACTGAGGCCGACAATCTGGTGGCGGTCTTTGCCAGCGCCGACAACGCCGTTGCTGCCGCGTGCGAGGCCCACTACGTGATGAAGACGTACAACACATGGGCAAGCTCTGAGCTCGCCCCCACTTTGCCGTCCCGCTCTCGGGCATCGGTGTGGCATGGGGAACGGGCGTGGTCCAGGACAAGGTCACTTCGTCGCTCTACGGCGAGCCAGTTGACGAGGCTCACCATCTTGCGGACGAAGTTGCGACCGAAGCGCAAGTGCTCCTCACCAACAGTACCCGTGCTGCGCTCCGCTCATCAAGCCTGGCTTTGCGGCTGGCCCCGCTCCGCGCTTCGCGGGCCGAGCCTGCATCGATGTGGCCATTTGAGTATGTGGTTGTCGACGAGGCGACATGTTCGTCCACGCCGCGCAAGTCGCGCATGAGCAATGTCGCCGCAAGCGCGCTCAACGAGGCCTCGACCGAGGCCGAGCTTGCAGAGCACGCCGGCGGTGCCGATGGGAGTGAGGCGAGCACGTTTATGAATCTGATGCTGCAACTGCGCGGCGGCGCGGGCGCAGCGACCGACACTGTCGACGTGCTCGTCTCGCACAAGTTTGTGACCGAGGCGGCGGTGGTGTACGTGGCTCTCGACATGGCAGCGGTGACACGCAAGTATGGCTCTGTCAAGGCCATTGCAGTTGTCCACAACGCGGTGGCGATGGTGGCACAGGCAGTGGCCGAGCAGAGCGGCGTCTCTGTTCTCGAGCCGTTTGTGCTTGCGTTTGAGAACAAGGCGCATGGGGTCTCTGCTGCCATCGCCATTCTGCGGGCCATCGAGCGGTACAACACAGAGTCGGTCTCGTCGGAGAACCGCATTCCGCTGCTAGCGGTCGGGTCGCCGCCGGCGAGCTGCTTGTGGTCGATGGAACCGACATCCACTGGGGCGAGGCGCTCAACACGGCGGCCAAGCTCGCGCACGTCATGGCGGCATCGCGGGAGCTGCTGGTGACCGAGGAAGTGGCCAAGGCGACGCGGAGCGACCCTGCATTTGCTGCGCTTCGCTACGAGCCGCGCGAAGCGGTGGCCTCGGGGCTGGCCTTTAAGGCGTTTGCGGTCGAGTGGGCGTTTTTCGCGCGCGAGCTGCCGAGCTCGCCGGGCTCGCGCTCGGACGGGGTCCACTTCCGCGAGCTCTCGGGCACTCACGCGGTGGTGGTCTCGGACATGTCCGGCTTTACGCGGATTACCCGGGCCAAGGGCATTGTCCACTTTGCGTCGCTCATCTACCGCATGCGCGAGATCATCCGCGCAGCGTACGAGGCTGCGGGCGCGGTGGCGTTCCACACCGAGGCTGACAACACCTTTGGCGTATTTGAGAGCGCGGCGGCGGCGCTTGAAGGCGCGCTGCAAGCAAAGTCCGGGCTGCGGGCGTACAATGAGAGCGTGGTTGATCCAGACCTTGCCATCGCGTTCTCTGGCTTTGGCGTCGACGTCGGCGAGGACCTCATCCGCGACACCGGCTCGCTCCGACTGTTTGGATCTGCAGCCGAGCGCGCGTTTGTGCTTGCCGAGGACACCGCCGACGGTGGGGCGGTCCTGGTCTCGGGTGCAGTTGCAGCACGTGTCCGTGGAACAGCTGCGTTCAAGCACGCCAAGTTTGTGCGGCAGACGTCAGATGAGCTCGACTTTGTGTTTTACGAGGTGATCGGCGGCGAGAGCCAAGCGACGGGCAGCTTGCCCCTCACCGGCGAGTATGCGCCGGCGCGCGAGGAGCATGTTCACGGCTCGCCGGCTGCGGTTTTCCGGACGGCCGTGCTCTCGTCGCCGCGGGCGCTGGACGTGGCTGCGTCGTTCCTCCGCCCGCACGCGGTCGTCCTCCTCGTCGGGCTCGAGTGGCGAAGTTTGACCGAGGCAGCCGGACCGCGCAAGGCTATTTTGGTGGCACACGAGGTGGCGGGCGTCGTCGCCGATGTTCTCAGCCAGCTCGGCGGGACCATGCTCGAGGAGTTTATCTATGCATTTGATTCGCCCGAGGCTGCCATTTCCGGCGCGCTCCAGCTCCGCAAGCTCTTTCGCGAGCGGACGGCCAAGCACGCCGAGGCCGAAGACGTGCCGCTCCTCGGGTTTGGCGTACACTCTGGCGAGATGCTCATTGTGCCCGGGACCAACGTTCACTGGGGCGACCCGCTCAACACGGCGTCCAAGCTTGCTGAAGACATTGCGCGCGAGGGCCAGCTGTATGTGACGCAGCCGGTTTGGCACCGGCTCTCGGGCGAGTTCCGCCGCAGCCTGCGGGCCGGAACCGAGAGCCACACCGTGTCCAAGGTCGCGCTCCAGGTCATGCGAGTGGACAATCCGGGACCGGTGTCTGGCGTCGCGGTGTCTGGCACTGTCCGCAGCGCACCGGCCGTGGGAGTCGTCGAAGACGCGCACACTCGACGGTACACCTCTGAGGTGGCGGTACTTGTTTCGGACATGTCGGGCATGTCGCGAACGACGGCCAAGTACGGAATCATTCACTTTGCGTACCTAATCCTCAAGATGCGCGACCTGCTCAGCGGGGTATGGGAGCACTACGGCGCCGTGTCTGTGGCGACTGAGGCCGACGACTTTATTGTGGTCTTCCCGTCGCTCGACGCGGCGCTGACCGCGGCGCTGGAGGCTTTCCACATCCTCGATGCGTACCACGCGGCGCTGCCTGCGGAGCGGCTGCAGGCCGAGCGGATCAACGTGTCCGGCTTTGGCATTGCTGTCGGCGATGATGTGGTGGCGGACGCAGTGACCGGGCGACTGTTTGGGTCCACATTCAACGAGGCCTTCCTCCTTGGCGAGGAGCTGACCGACGGTGGGCAGGTCCTACTGAGCACAGCTGCGGCGCGGCGGGTGATGTCGGACCCGCAATGGGCGTGCGTGGCGTGCGAGCCGCGGATGGATGTGGAGACGTCGACGACATTTGCGGTGGTTACTGGCAAGCTGCCTGCGTATGAGTGCAGTCTTGCGCAGATGAGCGTGCCCACCATTCCGTGGGGTGTGCACACGCCAGGCGGTGAGTTCTACACCGACATGCTTGTCAAGCGGCCGACGCTGGCCGGACGGGACCAGGCCGCGCTCGACGACGCTATCAAGGCGCGGTTCTTCTCCACCAAGTATGTGGTCATGCTCGGCTTTGACTTTTCGGCCAAGGAAGCGGCCGACTCGATTGATGCCGCGGTGGCGTCGATGCACACAGCTGTAGCCGAGACGCACCCGCGGGCTGCGGCGCATGGCGGCGTGGCGATTGAGGAGTTTATCTTTGCCTTTGACAGCGGCTCGGCGGCGTTTGCGGCGGCAAGTGACATGAAGGCGGCGCTGGTGGCGTGCGGCTTTGACGCTGTGCCATTTACTGGCATTGCGCTGCATGCCGGTGACATGCTCATTGTGCCCGAGACCAACGTCCACTGGGGCTCGCCGCTCAATACAGCGTCCAAGCTCTCCGAGGACGTGGCGAGTGCTGGTGAGTTCTTTGTCTCGCGCGTGGTCATGGACGAGCTCCGCAGGAACAGGCTGGTCCGGGATGTGGAGACTGTGGACCGTGTTTTTACCGTGTCCAAGATGGACTTTGAGTGTGTCGAGATATTGGGTACAAAGGGCGGCATTGCGAGCGCTAGCGCGAGCGAGAGCCCGGCACTGACCGCGGGCGACACCTCGATTATTTCGGTCGATTTGAACGGCAGCGACGACTTTGGCGTGAGTGCACTCGACACGAGCCAGGTCCTCGTGGTTGTGGGCATGCCATCCCTGGCACGCACGCTCCGGCGCGAGGGGCTCGAGGCACTGGCGTCGGCGGTGGTGCGGATGCAGCAACTTGTGGGCGGATGCATTGCGGCCGGTGGCGGCGAGGCATTTGGGCGCGGTGACGAGATTGTGGGCGTGTTTGACGACGCGCTGGTGGCGCTGCAGGTGGCAACCAAGATTCACGAGGTGGTGCGCGAGTTCAACGCTGCAGCCGGCGCTGCGCGACTGTCGGCCATCGGGGTGGCGGTCGTGCCTGCAAGCACGACGCTTGTGGTCGCGTCGGTCGGCGGCGTGTACGGGCAAGACGTGGAGCTCGGGCGCGATCTTGTGCTTGAAGGCGCGGGGACCAAGACGGTGGTGGGGCGCGCGCTTGTGGCGAGCCTCTCTGAGCGGGCTTCGGGCGTCTCGTTTATTTCCGGCACGTCCGAAGGCGCGCACGTGCGCGAGTATGCGATGGTGTCTGGCGCTGTTGCCATCGACGGGCCGCTGGCGGAAGCGAGTGCAGCAAGGCTGTGCGCGAGCGTCGACGGGGCGCTGGGAGAGCTCGGCGCGGCGGCGCTGTCGGCCAACAACGGCGGCGCGCTGCGGGCGGGCTACATCGCGAGCCTGGCACTCGTTCGATTTGTCTTTGACTTTGGCGTCAAGCACGCGGATGGGCTTGCACAGCTTGCGCTCTCGATTGTGAGCGGGCTCGTACCGAGTGACGCGGTCGACTTTGGCGGACTGGTGTATGGCGTTTCGAACGTGGCGGACGGGCTCGAGTTTGCGCTCAACGTCCGCGACGCACTGGTGGAGTTTGGCGCGTCGGCGACGGGAGCGGCGACCCGCGAGCTGCCGTTTGTGGGCGGAGTGGTCAAGGCCGGGGAGGTTGTTCGCGATGCAAGTGTGGGTGTGGTGTGGGGCGGGCCGGTGCTTGAGCTCAACCAGGCGTCGCACATGCTGCGTCCGGGTCAGGTTGTTGTCCTCTCGGCGTCGGAGGCGGATCTGGGCGACGACACACGGTTTGCCGGCCTAACGTTTGACAAGGCTGTGTTTGGCCGGTCGGTGACCGGGCTTGGGCAGCTGGCTGGTGTGCGGGTGTCGGGCGAGCGGAGTGCTCGGTCGGCGCCGGCGGTTGTGGTCGCTGGAAGCGAGAGCCTGCCACCGCGGACACCGCGTGGGCGTTCCGGCTCTGTCGACTTTGATCTGGCTGTTCCTAGCTCGCCGAGCTTTGAGGCGCGCGGCTTCGACCTGCCGGACGTGGCCGAGGAGGCCGGCGCAAGCTCGAGCGCGAGCCTGATTGTGGTGCTTGCCGAAGTCCAGGTCAAGTCTTCGGGGAGCTCTGCGAGCGAGCTTGTGGCTGCTGGGTCGAGCGCTGTGCGATGGCGGTCTCTGGTCGATAGTGTGGCCGAAGTGCACGGCGTGACCAGCCTCAGCGTGCTGAGTGATGCGAGCGGGGTTCAGGGCCTCTGCGTCGGTGTTGTGTTTGGCAGCGATGAGAGTGCGTCTGCGCTCCAGTTTGCCGGCGAGCTTGTGGTTGTGCTGCAAGCGTTCAACGCGTCTGTTGACGACCCGGAGCTTGCGCTGCGGCTGGGAACGGTGATGGTCCATGCTGGGCCGGGCGTGATTGTTGTGCCGGGCCTCGGCGCGGTGACCGGGCACGGGCTCGACGCCGGTTTGGCGGCGATGCGGAGACAGCCCCCGGCTGTGGCGCTTGCGGTGTCTGGCAGGCTAGCACCCAGCGGCTGCGGCTGGGCCCAGGTTGAGCGTGCGAGCGGGGTGGTGAACGGCCTGCCGGCTGGCGACGAGCTGCGCGTGGCGGTTGCAGAAGTCATCGGCAACGCATCCGGCGCCGAGGAGTCGTTCCAGGAGATGGCACTTGAGCGGTACAAGGCTGGCAAGGCGCACCGGAAGCGACTGGACCGGGTGCTTGCGCGGTTTGTGACAGCTCGTGCGGTGATTCATCTTGGGCTTTCGGTGATGGAGGGTGCGCCGGGCGGTGCGGCAGCGGCGCTCGAGGCCGCACACGCGGAGATGGAGGCGCTGACTGGCGCGCACGGTGGAAGTGCCAAGGCGCCGTTTACTGTGGCGTTCCACGAGACGGCCGGAGTTGGGGCAGCGCTGGCGCGGATTGTGGGCGCGCTCAACTCGGGCACGATGCTCTCGGGCGTTTCGGGCGTGTTGGTCAACGGCGTGGGCGTGGCGTTCTCGCCGATGGTCATCGACGCGGCGTCGCAGCTGTGTCTGGGGCCTGCGGCTGCGGCCGCGGCGGCCGGAGGCCGGTCGGGTAAGCTTGTTGTGTATGTTGGTGCCGAGGGCGTGACGCATGGCGTGGCGGCTGCCATGCCTGCCGAGCTTGGCCTGGAGCCCGTGGACGATGGCGAGTGCGAGTGGCGGTCGAGCGTGGTGCGGCTCGCGAGGCCGGCGGCCGGCGGCGGGAGTAGCAGCAAAGCAGCTTCTGTGCCTGGGCGCGCAAGCGGTGGCGAGTGCATTGTGTGGATCGACGTCGATGTGGGCGGCAAGGCCAGCGCCAGTGCGGGAGCGGTGACGCTTGCTGGTGCGCAGCGAGCGTTTTCTGATGCGCTGCTTGCATCTGGCGCAAGCGCGGTGACGACGGTGGGCGAAGCCGTTGTGGGCGTGCTACCTAGTGCGAGTGCAGCGCTCCGCGGCGGGTTCGAGGTCCTTCATGCCGCACGCGAGGTGACAGGCGGCGGGGCCGGCGTGCGCAAGATCGGAGTGGGCGTGGCCGGCGCCCATGGCGAGGTGCACGTAGCCGAGGGCATGGTGTTTGCACCGGGAGTGACGACGGCGGCGACGCTCGCCAAGGCTGTGCTCGGGCGAAGCGGCGAGGTGGGCGCTGAGAGCCGGGTGGCGAGCGCCGGACTCCGGGCGCATCCTGGACTCAGTGCATCGTCCAAAGTCTCGCAGTCGCGCGGTACAGCGTATGCGGTGGTTCGTGGCGAGCTCGGCTCGTATGCCGGAGTGGCTATTAGCCGGCCGGAGTCAAGCACTGTGCACGAGACGGCGTGCGTGAGCGTGGCGTTTGGCATCGACTACGGGTACGTGACTGCGCAGCTGGGCGGGCCCGTGGCGGCGGCAGCGTGCGCGCGGCGGGTGACGGCCATGATTGCCGGCGCCGCCGGTGAGGCCGGGCGAGTTGTGGGCGTCGACGCTGCGGTGTTTACAGGCCAGGTGGAGCATGTGGCGGCGATGGCAGTGGCGGCTGCGCGCAAGGTCCGCGACGGCATCCGGGCACACAACGCGCAGGCGAGCGCGGATGGCGGTGCGATCATCCCGCTGCGGTCTGTGGCGGTATTCGACGGCAACGTGGCATGGGAGCCGAGTGTGTGGGGCCCAGGGCTTCGCGACGCGCGAACGCTCGCGCACTCGTACCTGTTCGAAGGTGGGCGGGTGTTTGCGACCGAGGCCGTCAGCGCAGCAGCCGGCAGCGCTGCCCAAGCGGATGTGGACGTCGAGTATCTGGGACTGAGGGAAGTCCAGATGTGCGAAGTGGCTCGGTAAACGCCCAGCCTGGCTATCATAGTGAGGGGACAGTTGATGTGTTTACGGCAGGCGAGGTCAGTGCGAGTCTGAAATGACGCGACCCGAGGGCGACTTGACGCGGATGCGGCCGGACGGGTAGCGGGTCTCCTGGCGGCCGTCTGGGAAGACGGTGCGGACGACACCGTCTGCGCACGTTCTCCGCTTTGTGCCGTCCTTCTCGTGGACCTCGCGGTCGCCTGAGGGGAAGGAGATGGTGCGGACGCCGTCTGCGGCGACGCGCTGGGTGGTGCCGTCCGGGAAGCGAGTCACCTCCTCGCCCGAGGGCATGACGGTCTTTGTGGTGGAGTCCTGGAAGATGATCTCCTTCTTGCCCGAGGGGTAGTGCTTCTCGACTTGGCCAGTAGTACCAAACTCAAAGACCTCCAGGCCGTCGTCGTACGAGGTGTGGCGGGTCTTGGCCTGGGCGTAGTAGTAGACCTCGCGCTTGTCGGGTGCTGGGAACGACTCGCGGATGTCACCGTTGCCAAAGAGGACGACGACGTGGTCGCCGCGAATCTGCTTCTGGGTGCCGTTGGGGAAGCGGACGCGGCGCCAGCCCGAGGCAAACACCTCCTCGACCTTGCCGTTGTCGTGCTGGATGACCTCAACGGGGCGCTCATCGTCGTCGGCGTCGGGTGGTGGTGGATGGGCAGCGGGTGAGGCCTGGTGCGCCGGCTTGGTTGTGGCCTCGAGCGCACGGTCGATGTCGTCGCCAGACTCTGAGAAAAAGTAGGGCGAGGAGGAGGAGGCCGAGGTTGGTGAGGGCGAGGGTGAGGGGGAGGTGTGGGCGGGCTTGGCGCTGGCGCCGGCCGCAGCCTGTGGCGGGGTATAGTAAAAGCGCTGGACCTGATCCTGGAAGCGGACCGAGCGGGCGTCGTGTGGGTCGTCGGCGAGCGGCGACGAGCGCGAGGGGGGGTGGGTGGCCGAGGAGGCGGTCGAGCGGCGGAGGCGGGCCTCGAGCTCGCGGACCTTGGCGTGAAGGTCAGCGATGAGGTCGTCTTTGGCGTCGAGCTCGCGAACTTTTTCTGCGATCTCGTCGTCCTTGGTGTTGAGCTCGCGCGAGTAGCGTGTTGCCTTTGTGCGGAGGACCTCCAGCTCGCGATCTGTCGACGCCGACTGTGACTTGATGGCGTCGAGCTGATCCCAGGCGTCGAGGCGCTCGTCGGAGATGACTTGGACCTGGTGAGCGAGGTCAGCGACGCGAGCCTCCGACGACTCCAGCTTGGACTTTGTGCGCTCTAGGGCGGACTTGAGCTTGGCTTCGCGGTCGCGCGCGGCGGCGCGTGCATGGGCGAGGGCCTCGTTGAGCTCGTCAATCTCGCGGCGGTCGGCCTTGGACGGCATGGAGGCCAAGGAGCGGTGCATTTTCTCGAGGCGCTCGCGCTGGCGGGCCAAGTCCATCTTCTCGCGACGCTTGTAGTCCTCAAACTCGGCCTCGGCCTCGGCCTTTTGCTTCTCAAACTCGGTGACGTCCATGCGGAGGCGCTGGAGTGCGAGCTCCTTCTCGGAGCGGACGGCGCGGATCTTGCGGTTCTCCTCCTTGAAGTTTGCGATTTCGAGCTCGAGCAGCTCGAGCTTCTCACGGATCTCGGCCGACATGGGCTCGTCGGCGTCGTGCTGGTGCGGGTTTGGGTGCGGGTGCGCGCGCGGTGGCGGAGCAGCGGCGCCGAAACGGGCCTGGACCAGCGCGGAGCGCGGCGGCGAGGCCTCGGGTGATGAGTGGTTGTGCGGCGGATCGCGGGAGCGCGGCGGCGAGTGTGACGGCTGAGGCGGATACTCGGGCTCATTCCACTCCTCGTCGTCGTCAAAGAGTGCCGAGGCGCGGTCGTAGGCGTCGTCGTAGTGGGCTGCGGCGGCCGGTGGGTCGTAGTGGGCCGGTTGCCGAGGCGCCGACTGTAGCTGGCTCCGCTGCGCCATCTGGCGCTCCGACTCGGCCATGATGTCGGCTTCGAGGGCGGTAAACTCGTCCAACTCCTCCTTCTCGCGGCGGCGGGCCTCGGCCCATTCATCGTCGCCCATGTGCCCACCTTCGGGCACATCATCAAAGTACCGGCGGGCTTGGTTCTCCTCGGCAGCGGCGCTCGGGGCGTCGTCGGCAAAGTAGAGCTCGTTGTCGTCGGCGTACGGATCGTCGTACAAGCCGAGACCACTGCCTGGTGAAGCTGGCGGCTGGGTCCGTGGCTGAGGCGAGCGAGGCGGAGAGCGAGAGGCCTGTCTCCCGTTCTGGGGTGGCGACGACGGCGGTGAGGATCTCCTCTTCCGCCGCTTGCCCTTGGACGAGCCCATACCCGCCGACAGCGGACGCGAGCCCTTTTTCAGAAACGGGCGCCGACCCTGTGCGTGCCCGGCGGCCTGTCCATCACCAGTAGCATCAGCACTGTTGCTGGCCGAGTGGGGACGGTCTTGGTCGCGAGGATCGTGGGGATCGTGGGGATCGTGGGGATCGTGGTGTTGGTGGTAGTGGTGGTGGTGGTGTTGGTGGTGGTGGTCATCGTCGAGCTCATCGTAGCTGTGTGGTTGTCTGGGCGCATGTGGTCTGGTGGTGGTGTTGGTGGTGGTGTTGGTGTTGGTGTTGGTGTTGGTGTTGGTGTTGGTGTTGGTGTTGGTGGGAGCAGGCCCGGCACCTGCTGCTTCGGCCTTGCGCAGTTCCCTCTCCAGGAGCTCTTCGAACGTCAGCTGTGCTCCCGATGACTGAATGGGGATTTCGTCCTGTAGGGTGGTTGGGGAGGAGGGGGAGGAGG